TGAAAAGGTGCGAGGGATCTTCTGGCCGGAGCGGACATGATGAACATATATATATATATATATATGAGCCACGGTCAAAACATGCGAAGACCACTTTAGTAAAGAGGGGTAGGTTTGTGCCCCAAACCCTGCAAAACAATATGGTCCACCTCAAAACCAATAGCCCCAGCGCTGTATATGATCGAAAGTATGCGACGAACTCAAAACGCTGTAAAACGATAAGGTCCAACTCAAAACCGATGACGTCCATTTTTTAGTTGAAGAAGAATAAGGAGTTTTGACCGTCCCTCACATGTACAACAATTCTATAATATCGTGGGATCCAGATACCGAGTCCAAGGACAGCTTGTACGTCAGTCAGTCGGTCTGGACCGCATCTCTTTGTGATACCTGACCCTAACACAGACACTCCATGGGATTGGATTCTTCGCCTACATTGATGTCTGAAACCACCCCAGGCAAATATGTCATCATTAGTGCCATCATTGCAGTGTGGTAAGGGTCGAGGACTATCCGTTTCTCGGATATCCAGTTAGTTCCAGTTCGACCTTCTCTGGAAGTACGTGATATACCCACTGGCCTGTCAGACTCAGACCGAAAAGGAGGTACCGCAGGATCTGCTGTATGTTTCCGACAAACAGCGTGGCTTTAGAGGTTCCATGGAACAAGTTACCCCAAGTTGGGTGGTTTACAAGGACCCCTATGTAAAAGACTGTGCCAGTGCCATCTACTCTGAAACCACTGTATCTGAATATGTTTGATGGGTTACACCCAGGGCTCCAGGGGTGAAAGTAGACAGAGCGGTTTGACCAGGTCTCGCAGCAAGCGGCTTTAGAAGGCTTGGAGGCGCGGAACCTCGCTGCCGATCCGTGCAAGTCAAGCAGTATCTGACATGTCATCCGTTCATGACACCGTTCGGACCCCACAACGTGGCAAAGACGCCAGAGAGAGAGAGCAAGACGTATTGTAAAATCGATCGTTGTTTAGAGAATGGTTTATGTTTCTGTGCAGCAATTGTTGGGTGCAATTCACAAGAACAAGAAGAGAGAGAGAGAGAGCACACTCTAGAGCCAGATCAAGTACAAGGAGAACAGCAACAACAAGAAACAACCACCACCGACGACAACTATATGCTAACCATTACTAACCAAGACATGACCATTTATCGTGCTTGTGCATTTGGTTGACGATGTGAATGAAGTGAATATAGTTACTTGGTCCAGCTGCTGTAGTAGATTCTGTAGGCGCATGGGATTTGATTCCTTTATATTCCTGTCAGTTCAAGGTACCATAGTTATGACGCAAATGATTTTGGAAGCTTTTGGCTTCTGGATTGGATCCCAAAATGATCGATCCTTGAGAGGCTTGAAATGTAGACGATTCACTTTTGGAGGTGACAACTGTTGGAGCCAAGCAATATATAGGCTTTCAGGCACACATGGGTGGGTTGTAAGATAGATCATCCAATTGGATCCGCGCATCCACCATACCTCAGGTTCGGTAAGACTGGACCCGACGTTTTGGCACCTACATAAAAGTGTTTTCTAGCTATCACCTTCTCAGAGAGTGGCAGTGGATCCATTATTTTGTGCAAACTCACTGGATCTCAAATCGATACATCTGAATTGTCAAAGGGTTCGCTGTTGGGCTTGTATTTTCTCAAAGTGTTTGTTGGCCCTGTTTCTTGGAATCCTCCATCGCCGTGCGCTTGGTGTAGATCCCAGCCCTTTGTGGAGGATGTGAACGGCGTTGATGATGACGGACTCCCTTTGATCTACTCCGTGGAACGCACCTTGGGCCCGACCGTTCGACCGCCGTCGCTCCACCCTGGCGTGGCCGCGGGACCGGTGGTCAGCGGGCGACCGGAGTCTGGGAGTCTTGCATGACCGCAGGGACCAGCAAAAGAGGAACAGTGTGCATGGTTGTGTTTGTTCGTATGTTGCACCTGCCATTGCCTAGGTGTTGATGTGAGATGATGTGAGCATGGTCTGCAATTGTGCCAATCACCTGATTGCACGAGTTCTTGTTCTCAAAAAGCTGCGACGCGGCAAGGTTTTGTGGACACTCAGGGTGAACTGGCTCTGTGGGTGACTGGTTCGTTCAGCTGAGGTATTGCCAAGTTCTGGGATGCTTGGCAGCTGAGGGTGGGGCCAAGGTTGCGTTTTTTTTAGCAACTTGTACTATAATCAATAGTGGTTCTTTAAATACATCAACGAGGGAGTCCTTAGTGCATAAATCTGAAACCAGTTCTGCCCATAAGGGACCGCTCAGGGTGCCATTGGAACAACTAATTGCTTGCCCCTGAATTGTCGGAGATGTGATGCAAGATTGGTCGAAGACATCAAGCATTGGAAATTGCTTGCCCCTGAATTGTCGGAGATGTGATGCAAGATTGGTCGAAGACATCAAGCATTCCAATGCCCAAACACTCCATGGGACTGGACTATTTGCCGCCCCATTGACCCTCCAAGTACCGTGAAAAATAGGTATGAAGTACCAGTTTTTATAGGGCATGTCCCACTTTCTAGGGTACTTGAAGTCGGGTCCAGGTACATTGACCCCATGTCCAGTCCCAGATAAGTGTCTTTAAGAAGGACGTGGACTGCTCCGGAGGACTGTCGCAGTAGCGACGTAGGTCCCGTCCCTTTCCCCAAACCGAAAGCGAGGAGCGACGTGATCCAAATCCTAAGGTGGCCTGAGAAGTGGAACCCCTCGTGGAACATGCACAGGTGATATTCCTTCATATGACAGAGCAGAATCAAATTCATTGGAGTGTGACAAGATCTCTCCAAAATGGTCCAAACATGTCCACGATCCAAATCCATGTGTTCCTCTCCGAAACACTATTGTTTCTCATCTAGAAATGCAGCTCAGATAATTACGTGGTATCAGGCTTTGAACCCTGTTTTCAGATGTAACATCTCTCCTGTGCCATCCATTGATATCCATTGATATCCATTGGCTCCAACAATCCGCCGGCTTTTTAAGTGCCATCCATTTGCGGAACACGCCCCACGACGTCCCCCCCGTGGTCCCCCCCGTGTCCCCCCCGTGTCCAGGACACCAAGCCCGGTGATCTCGCCGAGCGCTGGAGCCGCTTCCTGAGGCGTGAGACGAGACCGAGACCGGTTCGGACGGAGGTACCTGGATTTTATGGATGGTCCGGTATGAGAAAACAATGCCTACCATTGGCCCCTGAAAGCAGCTCCTTCAAGGTATTCGAAGCATGGCATACATGGAGAGTCTGGGACATACATGGATTGCAGGTCAGGTCACCTAAATAGTTGGAGAATTGGGGAGTGTTCCCCCACAGTGTCCAACCACACTCGCAAGAAGTTCAGAAAGTGTTTGTTCCTCTTTGTTCCACAAATCTCGAGGCTACAGTGGCTACAACGTTTCCTTCCCCCTACAACCTCCAAGTATAGACGCCGGATCCCTAGGCCGATAGAGGCCCTAGATGGCCCTAGGCAATGCTTTCATGATTAACCCCGACAAATGCGGCAAATTGGTGGCTCAAAAAGTGGATCTCTTCGGTTTTGGTCACAGATCCAAGTTCCGTGGGAGAACCCCAAAGCGACCAAACCCAGTGGGTCAACACACCAGTTTAACCCGTCCTTTGGACTTGCTGGGAAAAAAAAGAACACTACAAAACTCTCGCTTGACCTCCCTCCGTCGCTCGCGACTTGGCTTCCTTCGGCACTGCTACGGCTGGAGGATCTCAACGCCCTTCATTACGCGGTTCTTTTATTCCTTGCTGAACGGACGGCTCTGGGAAGATGAAGCCAGCCTAGCCAGGCAGGCGGTGGACAACATGCAGGACCGAAGATTGATTCGATTCCCGCGCGGACGAACGCGGCTTCGTTCGGACTGGCCTTGATCTTCGCTCGCCTGCCACCGACTCCTCGCGGGACCTTCCCAAGAGAGGTTGAGTGTAACCTGGGGTACCCAACTGGGATAGTCGAACTAGGACCACTAGGGTCCCTGAACCTCTGGACCCGACCGCGCCAGGAGTTGGGCCCGACCTTTGTGAAGTTGGGACAGGTCCTTTCCATCCGCCCAGACGCTCGACCACGCTCCGCGTGGTCGTGCGTTCGGATGCCGTGGTGCAGTGGGCTGGCGGAGTCACATGGTTTTAGTACTGAGTAGTCCAGCTTCTTCAGTCATGGTCCAGCTTCTTCAGTTCGGTCCAGCTTCTTCAGTTCGTGACCTTTTGAAGGTTCCTTTTCGTGACCCGGAAAAAGGAGGCTTGTTCGTGACCGAACCAACCAGGTTATCAAAAGGTCACTTTGAAGAAACAGGGTGATGGTTTCAGAATGTTTCAGATATGTTTATCTTCTACCTTTACTTGATGTACCAACAATGAGACTCCAGGTACTTTGAGACTCCAGGTCTGTTCACCGTCTGAGTTGGTGTACTCGCTCTCTTAACCCTGGCCGCAGCTTTATGGGACATGAGATGAGAATAGATGAGATTTAATAAACCACTGTACTATATATAAATTAAAGGTTTTAACAAGTTGAACCCTTAGCAGGGGATGTAAGGACACGGGAGAAATGTGAGGTTGGTACATTTCAATCATGGCTCCTGAAACAGGAGGTACTGGAAGACGATTCCTGCAAAGTAAGCGGACAAGGGGCATTGGCAAAACCACCACCCACTCCAACAACAACAACAACAACGACATAAACAATGACAACAAAGAATGACAGGCACCAATGCACCAGGAAGAGGAACAAATGGAGCAAAACCCAGTCGCAGAGCACCCACAGGTTCGACTCCAGCTGAGGATGTCTTGCCACCCAAGACCATGAAGGAGCTCTCTCGTTTGCAGGACGGCTCCCGTTTGGACCGACGCCATGATTCCAGCGGTGTTTTGATCGAGTTCTGTGTGGCTTCAGAGATGAAGTCCTTTCCTGGAAAAGCGAGCAACTCTTCACCCTTTTGGGGGATGGTTTTCCCCACTAAACATGGAAGAAGCATGAAGAAGCAGGTTAACCTTGAATGATTTTCCAAAGAAATTGAGGGAGTCAGCAAACTGGTCAAGGGGTCGGGCTTAGAGATTCAAATCAACTCGGTCTTGGACCAGATCGATGGATCGGCCTCATCGATTTGGTGTGCTCTTCGTCGTTGCGAGGGCTGACCATCGAAACGTCAGCTGTTCATTGCAGGACGATATCGAAACCTTCTCCAACGAAGAAGCCCGCAAGGTCATCGAGAAGGTCCCGTGGTGATGGAGACGGGCAATCGAGAGCCCAGGGCATGCCAAGGGGAAAGGGTGTGTGGATGTGATTGGATGTATATATTGTGTATTTAATACGGGGGACCTTTTGTCCTTTTTTGCCACTCATAGGATCCTTTCAGATGGGGACCATCACCAGCACTGCGCACAGCGAGAGAGAGAGAGAGAGCACGGGTCAGTTTCAATAGGCTTCTTGGAGCTACAACCCTTAGACTTTCCTGGTGGATAACCCAATGCGAAGCGATTTCAGCGTGGAACACGAGCTGATGCGACAGACTCGGGAAGCACCAAGCTCGCAAGCTGCTTCAGCAGACTATAAGCTGTTGAAGGTGCGGGAAGATCGGGATTTCGACCAGTCCACCATGGTCCACGCTTCATCGACCCGTTTGCAGTCTCCTCGTGCCGTCTTCGTGCCAGTCTCCTCGTGCCAGTCTCCCCTCCCCACAGGCATTTTTGGTTTCTGAGCTATTCCTAGTGCATCCCAGTTATCACTATATAAGGAACCAGGGATTCTAGGTCTATGGTGTTAGTCTTTGGAACCACTGGTTACCAGCCATAGGGGTAACTGGATGCCCTGGGATTGTTTATGTCATGAAATTTATGTTTGAAACCCTGAGTTGGACGGCCAGCAAGAATCACTTACGCTCAGCTTGGAGAGAGGCCCTCCAAATGGCAGAGGGAACGCTAATGCTGGTGGGTCACAGGCGATTGACATTTGGATCAACCACCATTGCCTCAACAATATGGACAAAACATGAGCACTGCCTGGTGATACCATGGTGTTCACAACCACCAAAAAAATGGGGTGTGCCCCACATCTACATGGTTTTCTCCCCCGAAGGAACACGCCGTTCCACCAGACCAACGTGGCTTAGAAATGTTCCCGCTTGTGCCGAGCCGTGCCGAGCCGTGCCGTCTGCGGTCTGGAGTCGTCTCTGTCGTTCAGCTCACGACCTCGTCTCGGGCGCAGAACATCACGTTGCTTGCAGGAGATGGGAAAGCCCTTGGATGAGATCTTCTCCACCTTCTCCGAGGCGACTCCGGGATCGTCCGAACGACGAGACTGGTCTCAGGTCGGTCTGGGACTCCGGCTCGAGGGCTGGCGCTGGCGTTGGGGTTCTGGAGGGGTGACCAGGTGGGTGGAACCGAACAGGTGACCTGGGGTGGCTGGGGAATCTGCTGGGATCAGATGGAGCAGGATGTGTTCCTTAGGTGCCTTCCTTTTGTTGCATCTCCTCGGGCCCTGTTTGCTTTGACACCTAAGACTCACAAACAGAGAACAACAAAGCAATGAAACAGTACTACATGAACATGCCAAGCACTACTTACTTAAAGTGGTTTTGGAGGTAGGATGGCACTTGGTGGAGGTCTAGATGCCATTTGTGTGACCCTTGTCGAGCACCTGCCGTGTGGGATGAAGATCCTGCCTTCCGGGCCTATGCGGAAAAATGAGTGGCTTGTGTTGTCAGAACTTGTAGGAGTGGGTGATGTCCAAAGTACCACATGATACCACATGCCTTTGGGTTAACTTGAGCCTGAAGACCACGGGTGGCTCAAGCCATTCCATGCGCCGAACCATGCCTCCCCAGCCCATGCCGTCCCAGGAGCCCATCGCCGCGGCCTCGTTGGCGCAAGTCTATCGCGCGACCTTGCGTGAGACTGGGGAAGAGGTCGCTGTCAAGGTGCAGAGGCACTGTCCACCCACGGACGTCACACACGCTACCGCGCGTTTGTCTCACCCATGCAGACTGCGAGCGCGACCACCGAGGGTGTTGTTGGAGCGCGGTACCGAGGGTGGTGGGCTGATGGGGAAACTGGGGCAGTTTGCGCGAAGACGAGTTTGCGACTTGTTTGCGGAGGAACAGTCAGCAGTTGAAACATAGTAAACATCCTTCAGTCAATTGAATCAAGTTGACCTGGACCCTCCAGTTCGTACCTTAGAAAATTCAACATGATCCCATAAAAGAGGCACGACTGAGGCCATTTGCCGAGATACTTTCACAGGTCGACTCCAGGTATTTTTGTTGCTTCACAACATTCCTTTCTTGTGGATGTCGGCAAATCCTGCCGTCCGGCTCGTTTTCTTTTCATGTTCGCTGCCGAGACCGCCGAGACCCGCCAGGCCAGGTGCTTTGAACACCGTCTCGAAGGACTCTGACTGGCCCGGTGGTCGTCCGAGGGAGCAAAGGTAACAAAAGGTCAAAAAACAAACAACAACGGTTACGCGCTTGTTGATTTTCTGGTTTATCTCCAGTCTCCAGGGAGCTGAGGTGTGCAAAGGTGTGAGGGGGACCTGAAAGTGTTCAGAAGATTCTGAAGCGTGTGGGAAAATCTAGACCTACAAAGTCATAAAAGTGGAGACTCTATCCGATTCGGTTACTATATACTTTTAGAATCTTTTAGATACTCTCAGACTCTTAATGACTCTTAGACCATGACCTTTTACCATGGTTTCCATGGTTGCTTGTACCTACTTGTACGGTTATGCCATAAAAGCTGGGACGTTTGGACACGGATTGATGCATAGAATCCAATGCAGCCGATGCAACCAGGACCTCTACGTGCTCCGCCGCCTGGCCGACGTGGTGCAGCCGCTCATCCGCCGCTTCACCGCCGATGAGACGGACGAGAAGATGGGGGGGGTCGACGGACTGGGGGCGCCGGTGGTGCCACGGTGGTGGTGAGAGAGAAGAGAAGAGAAGACAAGAGACGAGACGAGACGAGAGGAGATGAGATGAGAGGAGAGGAGAGGAGAAGAGAGAATAACTAACTGAAAACCCATAGACTGCAAGAATGATCAAGAATGCATTCGATACAGAGAAGAGAGAAGAGTGCATCTCGATCTAGATCTAGAAATTTGATGAAATTTGGTCGGATGTTTCTGCGCGTTTGACAAAGAGGTGCAATTTATATATATATATAGAGAGAGAGAGAGTCTGGACTGACTCTGTCATGGTCTCTTTCTGAAGATGGCAGTCGAAATTAGCCTTGCCTGTGGGACAGATGGAACTCTTGAAGAAATGGATATCACATGATTCATCACTTTGCCTCGATCCAATGGCCCCAAGAAAGCAACACACAAAATGACAGGCCACTGAGAAGGCCATAGCAGCACATCATAGCTTGAAGCAAGCCATGATGACACAGCCAACCCAACTGAAGCCCAGGGTAGATCGCACAAGGGAGGGCTGAACATCCAGGCACCACAGAATTAAATGAAATAATGCACTTCTTTTTGTTCTGGGATTTCGGCCCTGAACCTCAGTCCCCATCATTGCTTGGTTGGTGAGTTAGTTCTACTCGCTGTTCAATGAATCAGTTGAGTTTCCTGGGGAAATCCAGCGCCTTGCCGCTTCACCGCTCGCTGCGCAAGAGCCTCTAGACCTGCGGAAGTACGTGGATCACCTCCAAGTCGACACCCCACTTTTAAGGTGGACACATTCGCTTTTCCGCGGATCATTTGCTCGTGAGTGGGGATATCCCGCTAGTGGAAGGACCAGCTCTTACTCTTCTTTCATGACCATTTGATTTGGTTTTGGAACAGTGTGGGGCTTTTCTCCCCAGTTGTTCAATGTTCGTTCCCTTTTTGAAACCAATCCGGGATGGGTGATGAATGAAATGCCATGAGGCCGAACCCGACTCCAGGGGGCGAAAACGGTCGGCTGGTCGGCTGACGGCAGGACTACATCGCACTGACCGAGACCTTTGCAGAGGGCCTCTACACCGAGCGGCTCGATAGGGAAATTCCTTTTCCCAGGCACTGGAAGTGAGGCTGGAAGGTGCCGCTTCTCAATCCACCCCAACGTACACTCCATGGCACTGGCAAAAAAAAAGGATCACACTGGTGTGGGTTCAGGGGTAAATGTAGGCATATATTGTAGGCATATATATTCCATGCATGGAGTGTATTGGGTAGGTACATCATAGTAAACATGTGCCGTACATGGAGTGTTTGGGCTTGGTTGGACTGTCTTTGTTGAGCTCGGGGCTCGCATGTTGCCTTATGCTGTTCCAGCGTCGGCTGAATGGTGGTGAAAATTACTGAGAGCCACATTCAGCCTCACACAGGGAGTGCACCTCCCTGTCCCACCGTCCCTGTCCCACCGTTCGTGGATAACTCTCGGCGCGAGCCGTTCGCCTCTGAGATCCTCTTAACGACTGTTCCGGGAAATCACCGCTGAGTCGCTGGAGATACCAGCACCACCGGGGTTTGGGTGGTTTATAGACACCCCTGACATACCCCTTGACTACTAACATCTACTAGTACTACATATATGCGTGTATATAATATAATATATGTTCCTTCCAATAACCACCCGAAATGGGTGGTGCTGGAATTGATTTGTCCTGTAACCAAACTCCTGGAATGAAGAATCTCCTCAACCCATCCATCACATGACACATGTCTATTCACATCCCCCTTTCAGACGCACGAAAACCGCAAGACTCGAACAGCGCAAGAGACCGTCTCCCCTGATGCCCCCCCCCGCAGAGAAGGGTTTTCCTAAGGAAGAAGGCGCTGCACTGGAGAGGGTTTTTGGCAACGCAGGTTGCCCCACATGCTGCCTGAAAAGAGAAACGCAGCTCCGCCCAAGTAGCTCAGCTCTGGTGAGGTTGGATTTCCGGAACGAAGCCTTGAATGCCTTGCGCATGGAGGAGTTGCTCAAAGACAGCCTCGGTCCCTCAGCATCCTGCTGTGTTTCCGTTGGGGGTACTTTGATCCATGTGGGGGTAGGGTAACTCCAGCCAGGTCACTTTTGGCAACCATCGAAGCTCTTCGAAACACCTGGATTCAGGTGGTGTGAAGCTAAACTGCTGGGTTCAGGTGGTTGGAAGCCAAACTCCGGTGGTTCCACAGGAGTTGTTCCCCACCTGCCAGGTGAGGGTTGTTAGATTTTATGACAGTTGTTCTTCCTCCTTCCTTCCTTCCTTCCTTCCTTCCTTCCTTCCTTCCTTCCTTCCTTCCT